AAAAATATATATGTTTTTGTACCGGGGATCAAACTTGGGTCCTTGTGCTTGCAAGGCATGCGCTGGAACCACTGAGCTAAATCCCTGGCCCTGTATTTATTTATATTTGAATGCTGTGGTTCTTTGTATGCCTGTTTTTTTTTTTTTGTTTGTTTTTTTCCTTCCCTTGTGCTAGGGATTGAATCCTGAGCCTCATACATGCTAGGCAAAGTGCTCTGCCACCAGCCTTCATTTTCACCCCAAATCTTTTGCCTCTGATGTCAAGTCTAACAATTTTTTATCTAATGCTAGATCCTGAAGACTTTCCTCCAGTATTTGTTTATAGTTTTTTGCTTTGCTTTTGAATTTGTGATCCATTTAGAGTTAATTTTTATATAAGATATGAGACTGAAGTTGAAATTCTTATTTTTTGGTCTATGTTCCAATGCCCTTTTTTGTTTTGTTTTGGTTTTTGAGATAGCATCTTGCTATGCAGTTCAGGCTTGAACTGACTGTGTAGCCCAGGCTGGCCTTGAACTTGGAGTGATCCTCCTGCCTCAGCCTCCTGAGTGTTGAGATTACAGGTATATGCCACCGTGCCTGGCAGCTAGTTTGTTTTTTATTTTAGACAGGCCTTGAACTCATTATATAGCCTAGGCTGGTCTTGAACTGGCCTCCTGAGTGCTTGTCCATCATGCCCTGCTCTAGTGACATATTCTGAAAAGTCTGTCGTTCCTCCATTGTCTGGCACCATTGTTTACAATCAGCTGGGAATATTTGTATATATTTTTGAGGTTTCTATTCTGTTGATCTTTGTTCCTATGGCAATACCACACTGTGTTCATTGCTGTAGTTACATAGTAACTCTTGAAATTGCACCAATTCATCTCATTTTTATTCTTTTTCACAGTTGTTGAAGCCATGGTTGGTTTGTTTCAAACACATGCATATGTTCATACAAACTGTAGAGTCACCTCATACATGTGTGTGTCCGGAAGGTGTGCTGGGATGTTGATCGTAGTGCCCTTGAACCAGAATGTCATCAATTTGCCGAGGGTTGACGGTCTTTGATGTGGGAGTCTTTAGTCAGTGGGCATGCTGTGTCATCCTTCTGTAGATAGATGCTCTTTGATTTCTTCTGTCACTATTGCCTAGAGTTTTTGATTTTTCTTTTTTTTCTTTTTCTGGTACTGCGGGTTGAATTCAGAGAATACTGAGCTATATCTCCAGCCCTTTTAATTTAGTATTTGAGACAGGATCTTATGAAGTTGTCCAGTTTTCATTCCATTTGCCTCAAGTTTGAGAACTTCCCAAAATCTCCTGAATAGCTGAGATTACAGCTATGTCACCATACCCAGCTTCCTCTAGCTTTCCGATTATATTAAATTTAGTCATTGTAATTGTTTTAAAGACTTGTCTGCTAATCTCTATTTGTTACTTCTGGATTGATTTGATTCTTTCCCCTCTTGTTAGAGGATAAAACTTTCTGCTTCTATTAAAGTCTTCTTTTGAGGGAGGGCACTGGGGATTGCACCCAGGGGCACTACATTCCCAGCACCATTTTGGGTCTCATTGTCCAAGCTGTGCTTAAAATATACTTCTGCTGCCTCAGCCTCCCAGAGTGCTGGGATTTTAGGTGTGTGCCACCATGCCCAACTTTCTTCTGTGTGTCTTATAAATTTTCAGCTGTTGTGAATTTTACCTCCCCTTTCCCCCAGGGTCTCATTTAGCCTTGAAATCGACCCCTCTGCATCAGCCTCACAAGTGCTGGAATTACCAGGGTGTGCCACCATGCTCAGCTTTTTCTTTCTTTTTGTACTCCTGAAAATATCTCTGGACTTTTTCTGTCGTGGTTGAATTGCTGGGAAACAGTTTGTTCCTTTGGTTTTTGCTTTCCTGTTTTCTTTGGATGGAGTCAGGCTATGTTTAGGATTAAGTTTTCCTTGTCATTGAAGCTTTTTCCTTTCTTAGTACTTCTGTAAGATATGAACTGCTATGTTTAGGAGCAGGGTCTGTTCATTCCCTGTGTAAATTCTGGATGTAATTGCTTTTCCTTCTCATGGTGGTCTCTTTCCTGGCCTTGAGTTGTCCCTCCATGCTGTGCCCATGTGCATCTAGGCATTTCTTTCCCTGGCTCTCTGTTTAGTGCAGGTCTCCCTGTGAGTGCTAGCGTCTTGGCTTCCTTGGACTCCGCTCTGTTTCCTCTGCTCAGAAGACCACAAGCCTGGCCTGGGCATTTCCTCCCTATCCTGCAGCTTGGGGACTCCTGAGGCAGTAAGCTGGCCACGTAGGTGGCGCATGTCATTTGTCTTGGCTCCCAGGGATCAATTGTGTGTTATGTGACTTTTCCAGTATTCCCAGTGCTGTCACTTCATTCATTTTTTATTTCATTCAAAGCTAAATTTGGTCAGCTTTCTTTCATCTGGCCTAGAGGTGGTGTGGCATCTTCCTTCCTAAGGCCTAGTGAAGCTGAGTGTGTTTTAATTTGTTGTGTGGACCATTCCTGAGTTCTCTTAAGAAGTTTGTTCTTCATACCTTCAGCTTTGTTCTTTGCTCTTTTCAGTTCCAGAGATTTTGTATGTTTTAGGTACTGATCCTTCATAATAATAAATGTTTTGTAAATACTTTCCCCAAATCTGTCATTTACCTATTTATTAAATGTGCCCTTTGATGAGCAGAAATATTCCAATCTGATGAAATCTAATTTATCAGTGTTTTCTTTTATAGTTATTGCTTACTGTGAGCTAAGGCACTTTTGCGTACCCCTGAAGTCATGAAGGTAATTTCCTTTATTCTAAAAGTTTTTGTTTTTGCTAATTTATATTTAGGCCTGTGATTCAGCTTATTATTTTTTGTAGGCTTCACTGTTTGCATATTGCTGTCCATTTATTTTGTTCCATGTTGTAAAGGGCCACCTTCCTCACGTGATTGTTTTGATGGGACACATGGCCACAGAGGTGGGCATTCTCTCAGGAATCTTTATTCTGTTCCATTAATCTGTTTAATAGCCTTATGTCATTATGATGCTGATGTAACTACTTGTAACTTTATAAGAAGTCTTGTAGGGGTTGGGGATTTAGCTCAGTGGTGCCACCTGCCTTGCAAGCGCAAGGTCCTGAGTTCCATCCCTGGTACCGGAAACACCCCCCCAACCAAAAGAAGTCTTGTAGATAGAGGTGGTGGTACATGTTTGTAATCTCAGCTACTCAGAAGGCTGAGTTAGGAGGATCACAAGTTTGAGACTAGTGTACACAGTTTAGCGATATCTTTACTCAAAATATTAAAAGGCCTGGGCAGGGGATTTAGCTCTGATCAAGGTGTTGAGTTTGATCCCTAGTACTAAAGAAAAAAAAAAGGTCTAAGGGTATAGTTCAGTGATAGAGTAATCCTAGGTTCCATCCCCGGTACTGCCTAAAATAAAATAAAATTGAAAAATAAAGTTGAAATCAGAATCTCAGGTTAGGTTTTTTTTCCTTTTTCAAGATTGTTTGCACATGCTTCACATTTCCATGTAAATATTAATTTTTATTCGTCTCCAAATTGGAGCCAGATGTAGTGGCACATGCCTGTAACCACAGCACTTTTGGACGCTGAGGCAGGAGGATTTCAAGTTCAAGCCTAGTCTCTGCAATTGGACAACTTAGCAATTTAATGAGATCCTGTCTCAAAAAATAAAAAAGTTGGGATGTAGCTCAGTGTGAAGTCCTTGGTTTTCAATCCCCAGGAGTTACCCCCATCTTGGGGGCGACAAATAAGTTGATTGGATTATGGCTACACTTGCTTTGACTCTATTTCACTTTGCAAATTGGCACCATGGATGTCATAGTCACATGGCCTTCTGTCTGTTTTCGTAGTGAATCTCTCCACTTATATAGATCTTCTTTGTTGTTCTTTTTTTTTTGTACTGGGGATTGAACTCAGGACCTTGGGCTTGTGAGGCAGGCGTGGTGCCATTGAGCTAAATCCCCTGCCCTTATTTGTTCTTTCTGAACAATATTTTGTACTTTTCTTCGATCCTTTTTTTTCTTTTGGCTTTTTGAGACAGGGTCTCACTGTGTAGTTGAGACTGACCTGGAACTTACTATGTAGCCCAGGCTGGTCTCGAACTCACAGTAATCCTCCTGCCTCAGCCTCCCAAGTGCTGGGATTACAGGCGTGCGCTACCACACCTGGCTACTTTTCTTTGATCTTGATGGCACCTGTTTTAAAAATTTTTTTAATACTGGGGTTTGAACTCAGGACCTTGTACTTGCACGGCAAGCGCAGTGCCACTGAGCTAAAACCCCAGCCCCTACACATACATTTTTTTTTGGGGGGGGTTCCAGGGATTGAAGTCCCTGGCCCTCACACACAATTTTTTGGTGGTACTGGGGATTGAACTCCGGTCCTTGTGCTTACAAGGCAGATGGCAGAACCACTGAGCTAAATCCCTGGCCCTCACACACATTTTTTTTGAGAAGAGTCTTTCTATGTGGTTCTGGCTGGCCTTGAATTCCCTATGTAGCCCTATGTGGCCTTGAATTCGTAGCAGTCCTACCTTAGCTTCCTGAGTGCTGGGACTATAAGTGTACACTGGACTGAGTGAGATGGTAGAGGGAATGCAAGGAGATGGGAGTGAGGAGAGGATTGGGTGAGGGACGGGGTAAGCGGGTTAGGATTGTTGAGTTTGAATCATTTCTGGGGCTCAGCATTTTAGGGCTTGCTTAAGGCAGGGGATTATGTTTGTTCCAGAATATAAGCCAGGTAAAGGGGATGTTTAGGGTTGTATGCACCATGGATTCTTTGGTTCATACATGAAAGGTGGCAGGCAGATAGTTTGCTACCTTTAGGAATTAGCCTTAGGAGGCCTCTCTAAGGTAGTAAGGCTCGAGGCCTGTGATGGCGAACCTCATAGAGCTGTCAATGACACAGCCTGGGGATGTTCTCCTTATCCCTTGTGATGATTTTTGTTGCATGTATTTCGAAGCTGTATTTAATATTAAGTATGATTATTATATTGTCTTCATTATTTGACCTATCATGAAATGCTCCTCTCTTACCTGTATAACTGCTAACCACATTCTTTTTCTTTCCATATTTTAAATTGAGGGACAGTATTGAGGATTAAAACCAGGGCCTTCTCCATTGAGCTATGTCCCAAGCTCTTTTTTATTGTGAGGCAGGTCCTTGTTAAATCTCTTTTAAGTTTCACAGGCTGGGCCTACACTTTTTCTTAGCCAAAAGGCCGAGAAGTGATTCACAGGCTAGGCCTAAATGTGATCCTCTGTCCTCACCCAGCCTGAACTACTGGACAACAGAGCAAGACGCTATCTCAGGAAGAAAAAAAAAAAGATTTCTCTTGTGAGAAGCCCAAAAGTATAAACAATTGAAAGAGCAAAATAAAGATAATAGGAAACAGAGAGATAAATCTTTTTCAAACAGGACTAGGACTAAGAAATAGAAGGGGTAGAGAGGGAGGAAAAAGAGAAGAGGACATAAAAAGGATTAAGATGTGTTATGTACACATACTAGCTTCCCATGATGAATGTAATCAGTACATACTGCAGATGTACTAATAAAAAGAACAATTTAAAAGTTAAGAAAATCTTTTTTTTGTTTGTTTTTCGTTTTTTTTTTTGGTACTGGGGATCGAACTCAGGTCCTTGCGCTTGTGAGGCAGGCCACCGAACTGTTGAGCTAAATCCCCGGCCCAAGAAAATCTTTTTTTGAATTGTCTATTCTACTGGTAGAAGAGTCTTTCTATGTGGTTCTGGCTGGCCTTGAATTCCCTATGTAGCCCTATGTGGCCTTGAATTCGTAGCAGTCCTACCTTAGCTTCCTGAGTGCTGGGACTATAAGTGTACACTGGACTGAGTGAGATGGTAGAGGGAATGCAAGGAGATGGGAGTGAGGAGAGGATTGGGTGAGGGACGGGGTAAGCGGGTTAGGATTGTTGAGTTTGAATCATTTCTGGGGCTCAGCATTTTAGGGCTTGCTTAAGGCAGGGGATTATGTTTGTTCCAGAATATAAGCCAGGTAAAGGGGATGTTTAGGGTTGTATGCACCATGGATTCTTTGGTTCATACATGAAAGGTGGCAGGCAGATAGTTTGCTACCTTTAGGAATTAGCCTTAGGAGGCCTCTCTAAGGTAGTAAGGCTCGAGGCCTGTGATGGCGAACCTCATAGAGCTGTCAATGACACAGCCTGGGGATGTTCTCCTTATCCCTTGTGATGATTTTTGTTGCATGTATTTCGAAGCTGTATTTAATATTAAGTATGATTATTATATTGTCTTCATTATTTGACCTATCATGAAATGCTCCTCTCTTACCTGTATAACTGCTAACCACATTCTTTTTCTTTCCATATTTTAAATTGAGGGACAGTATTGAGGATTAAAACCAGGGCCTTCTCCATTGAGCTATGTCCCAAGCTCTTTTTTATTGTGAGGCAGGTCCTTGTTAAATCTCTTTTAAGTTTCACAGGCTGGGCCTACACTTTTTCTTAGCCAAAAGGCCGAGAAGTGATTCACAGGCTAGGCCTAAATGTGATCCTCTGTCCTCACCCAGCCTGAACTACTGGACAACAGAGCAAGACGCTATCTCAGGAAGAAAAAAAAAAAGATTTCTCTTGTGAGAAGCCCAAAAGTATAAACAATTGAAAGAGCAAAATAAAGATAATAGGAAACAGAGAGATAAATCTTTTTCAAACAGGACTAGGACTAAGAAATAGAAGGGGTAGAGAGGGAGGAAAAAGAGAAGAGGACATAAAAAGGATTAAGATGTGTTATGTACACATACTAGCTTCCCATGATGAATGTAATCAGTACATACTGCAGATGTACTAATAAAAAGAACAATTTAAAAGTTAAGAAAATCTTTTTTTTGTTTGTTTTTCGTTTTTTTTTTTGGTACTGGGGATCGAACTCAGGTCCTTGCGCTTGTGAGGCAGGCCACCGAACTGTTGAGCTAAATCCCCGGCCCAAGAAAATCTTTTTTTGAATTGTCTATTCTACTGGTTTTAAAAAAATTTCTTAGTTGCGACTGATAATTTTTGTTTTTATTTCTGACTTTTTTTTTTTTGAGATTAAAGTTTTGCTCTAATTCAGGGTGGCTTTGAATTCATACATAGCCCAGGCTGGCCTCAAATTTGTGATTGATCTGCTTCAGCCTCCCAAGTACTGGGATAACAGATGAGTGCCACCACAGCTGTCTTTAATTATTACATTAAAATGTTTTTAAACATTTTAAATTTATATTAATAATAAGGTTTAACAGTCTGATATGTTCTTCCTTTTTTGGTACCAGGGATTAAACTTGGGTCCTTGCCCTTGCGAGGCAGGTGGCAGAAGCACTGAGCTAAATCCTTGGCTCCAACAGTCTAATATTAATTTGTCTTTCCCAGTTGGTTTACGAAGTTTTATGTCTGGATCGGAGGACAAATCTGAGTATGAGATAAAATTTGGGAGTTACTGATGTATTTTTGTAATTTAGATGGCAGTGGAAATTTTCGACAATGAATTAGATTGTCTATTCATCATGTCCATTTTTTGCATCATGCAGGGCCGTGGATTTAGCTTATTGGTTTCACTGCCTGCCTCTCAAGTGCAAGGACCAGAGTTCTATTCCCAGTACCAAAAAAAAAAAAAAAAAAATCTAATGACATACAGCAGTGGTGGCGAACCTTTTACTGTGGTGCTTTCAGTGATAAAAACAGCCACTATGGCATGCGTGCCATAGGTTTGCCTCCACTGACATAGCTATTTTAGGGTTCAGCCTTGCGTGAGTGCAACGTTTAAAAGTTTAGATGTCAGGTGTGGTATGTACACCTGTAATCCCAGGGTGAGCCTAGGAGGATCACCGGGAGTTGGCGGCCAGCCTGGGCTATGTGGTAAGTTCAAGGCCTGCCAGACCCTGTCTCAGAAAAGCAAACAAAAAACAAAAAAACAAGTTTAGAGTAGGTCATCAGAAAAGTGCTGCCAAACGGGTAAGAGGAAAATGAAGGATAGAAAAGAACAGGAAGACAAGAAATCCAGGATCTTGTGATTTAATTTACTGTTTCATCTTAATTTCTCTGTCCTGGTTTTCCTTTGAAATTCATTTATTTTATTGTATACTGCAAACCTTTTGGGAACAATCCAAGGTATAAATAAGTAGTCATGTGAGACCTTTGTGGACACATTCCTCATAGTAGGACAATGCTGGTGAAACTTACTCTTTCATTTTTATACTTACACATTTTTTTTTGTTTTGGTGCCAGGGATCAAACTCTGACTCTTGTGCTTGTGAGGCAGTTATAGTGCCACTGAGCTACTGATAGTAGTAAAAAGAAAATGGTAATACTAGCTGTAAGATTATTATTATTTTTTTCTTTGTTTGGTACCAGGGATCGAACTTGGGACTTTGCACTTGCGAGATATAGGCAGTGGCACCACTGAGCTAAATCCCTGGCCCCAGATTATTTTTGTTTTTACGTTTTTAGACGGCAGTGTGGAGCTATCCACACAGTAATTTTGAGTATCACTGTGTGTAAGAGTAGAATCATTAGACTGATTCCTTCCTTCAGAAAGGAGATTGATACATGTGGGGTCATGTCTTGTTGCTGAAATGAAATCAAAATTCTAACTTTTTTTTTTGGTACTGGGATTGAACTCGGGTCCTTGTCCTTGCAAGGCAGGCGGTGGAACTGCTGAGCTAAATCCCCGGCCCAAAGTTCTAACCTTTTGAGGTTGACTTTTTTTTTTCTTTTTGGTGTTGGAGATTGAAGGGAGTTTGTCTCTTTATTGTAGGATAAACCAGACCTACTCCAATAATTCTTTGTGGTCTCGGATAGCAGAGATCTACGTAAATGTTAAAAATCTTACCGTGGTCCTGCGTTGATAGTGTCTCTTTTTTGTTTGTGTTTTTGAATGTGGTCTTGCTAGGTTGCTCAGGCTCATGCCTCAGTTTGTATTCCCATGTTATGAGGATGGTAAGTGCACTCTACAGTGACTGCCTCTTTTTTTTTTAGTGAAATTTTATTTATTTTTTCTTAATGAGTTTATTGGTACTTTTAAAGTATACAGTAGTTACATTCATCATTGGGATCTTGTGTCTTTACATGACAGGTCTTGGTTCTCATTTTTTCTCCATACCCCTAACTCTCCCTTCACCCCCTTAAGTGAGATTTTAAATAATTGCTGCAGGATTTTTAAAGTTAAAATGTATTTTATTCATTTATTTTTGTGGTTACTGGGGATTGAACTCAGGGTCTTGTGGTACTGGGGATTGAACTTGAGTCCTTGTGCTTGTAAGGCAGTCAGTGAAACCACTGAGCTAAATCCCCGGCCCTTCTTATCATACATCCTCAGTCTTTTTTTCTCAGTCCTTTTTTATTCTGAGACAGGATCTCACTCAGTCACTAAATTGCCCAGGCTGGGTTTGAATTTGCAGTCCTCCTTCTTGGCCTTCTACCATGCTGAGATTACAGGTGTGCACCTGTCTAAAATGGTTATCTCAGTTCATGATATTAATTCTTGCCATGATTCTGGTTGTAAACCAGATTGATCAAGAACCAAGTCAAATTTCCCCATAAGGTCAACACTAAACATAACATTGAATTTGGTCTGGTTCTTGTCTAGTTCTGTTGTGACCAGAATTGTGGAAAGAATTAAGTTCTGAACCAAGATACCATAGTACCTTAAAAGAAGTTGTTAACCTGGTGCTCTTTGGAAGATCACATGTTATTTAAAACAGTCATTTTGTGAGGAATGTTGAACTTTTGATGGAGACAAAAATACAAATACTGTTCCCATATTTTCCATTTTGAACATGCAGGTAAAGTGTTACATTTTCATAATCTGAAAATCTTTTCACTTCTTCTTTTTTCTTTTTTTTTTTTAAAGAGATGTGAACTGTGTCCCCATAAGGATGGAGCTTTAAAAAGAACAGATAATGGGGGTAAGTACAGAGAGTTTTGAAAAAAATTTCTATGGAAAACTGGAGTGGGTGAGAATTATTTTAAAATGTCTAATAGTTTATATTTTATCAAATAGTGTTTACTAATTTTTAGAAAAGTGGATGTAAGTTATTAATTGTATGAAACTGATGTTTCTACTAAAGACAAACATTGGCTATTTTATGCCTAGTGATTGCATACTCCCAAATTAAATTTCTTTTTCTTTTTCTGAGATTGGTCCCACTGTTTCCAGGCTTACCTTGTCCTCAAGACCCCTCTGCCTCTCATGGGTGGGATGCAGGTGTGACCTTGCCTGGTGTAGTTTTTAAAATGGGAGCTAAATTTGAAACTTCTGAAAAATAAGCTGTATTCTGATTTTTCTTTCGTGTGTTTCTAGAGGGTTGATGTTTCTAATAAATGCTGATTTTACACTCCAGGATTTATGTTGCTTGAATATAAAGAAATGCTGACTTCTATCGCTACATTTTGATGTTCTTCATTGTTTACTTGAGTATTCCTAATCTGAATACCCCAGAATATGAATTGCTCCCAAATCTAAGTTTTTGAGCACTAATTTTGGTTAATGGAGCATTTCAGATTTTGGAGGTTTGGGTTAGGGAAGCTCAGCAAATATTTTAAAATCTGGAAATCTCTAAAATCTGAAACACTCTGTTTCCAAGCATTTTGAGTGAGGAATAGGTATCCTGTTGTTAACTTCATTCATTCTTTTGGGTGTCTTTTTCAGAGAAATTAATATTTTTCTACAGCTTAGTACTTTCAAAAATAGGTTGACATGAATTTATTAAATTGATATACTTGAAGATGTAAGTAATTGATAAGGAACTTATTCTACTTATTTACTGCCTCTGTTAAGCTCCTATAAGATTTTCTTTTACTTTGTCAGGAATTATACCCATTTTTGTCTTTGGAAAGTTAAATCAGCTTTTTTTCCCCCAGAATAAACTGAATTATTGTGGTATTTAGTTGGCTAATGCTTTGTTTGGAATTTTGATATCTGATTCTGAAATTAAAGAAATTAGGTTGTGATTTTCCTTACTATAGTCTTAATCAAATTTTGGCATTAATGTTATGCTGTTCTCAACAAGTTGGGAAGTATTCTCTTTTCTTGTTTTTAGAAATACTTGTGTAAGATGGACATCATGTCATCCTTACACGTTTGGTAGAATTCACTGCTAAATCTGTTTTGAGTTTTCTGAAGGTTGTAATTC